CAAGGACCTGGGATAGGCAGATGTTGTTGTTTGATGGTGTTAAAGGTATCGTCGCAGGATAGAACCTGTTCCAAGTAAAGCTGCCTTTTGCAATTGAGTGGTGGTGCTTTTGTCAATGCCAGTGGTCTTCAAATGGTACTCCAGATGTTTTGGAATTGCACCCAAGGCATCTGTTACTGTTGGTACTGTCTTTGCTTTCTTTTGCCACAGTTGTTCTATTTCTATTTGCAGGTCTTTGTAGCTTGTGATTTTCTCCAGTTCTTTCTCTTCTATATTGTTGTTTCCAGGTATTGCAATATCCACACTCCAGACTTCTTTGTCTTTCTATCAACAGTTGATAGGTTTGGGGTGTTGTGTGGCAGGTGTTGTCTGTTTGAATTCTAAAATCCCAGAGATGATGATGATGATGATGATGATGATGATGATGATGATGATGATTACCACCACCACCAACAACTAGTAGCATCTGAATAGGGATACATTTCTTTCTTTCTGTTCCCTGTCCAGTTGCGTCTTCTTGTAGTCTCATATCCATTTGGTTTTGTTATTTCTCTTCCCCTTTACCCCACCTCCAACCTGTGTTCTCTTATTTTTGTCTGGCTCTTTTGAAAAGGGAAGGGTGGTGCATGAAACAAGATGGGTATGTTGAAAAAGAGGAAGCAGTGGATTTTATAAATGAAGTGCCTTTTTTTACAAGCCACTTATTTTAATAAGTGGTTATTCAATTAGTACACACACACACACACTTTTTGTCTCAATTCTTCCCTTTTTTGAACTGTCCTTTCCAGCATATGCATATTACACTCACATCCACAAATATGCAAACGCAGTAAAATTGGGCAGTCTTGTCTGGGTTAGGAAGCTAAGCAGGACTTTGGCCTGCTTAGATAGGTTGGGAGACAGCCAGGGAATGCCAGGGCTGTACGCTAGACCGAGAAATTGAAAAAAAAATCACTGTGGAAGAAGGCAATGACAGATTAATTTCATATTCTACATGAACATGTCCATAAAGTCACCGTACATATCAGGCTTGACTTGAAGAAGCTTTACATTTTCCTCTGTATGGCGCCTAGAGTCACTTTTTCGTGAGGTGGAGGCCATAACATTTATTTATTTATATATGTACACACACACACACACAATACAGATGTATTGAACACATACAGTTATTGCAGGAGTGATCTCCAGGATAGATTTCAGCTTAAGTCAACAACCCTAGATTAACAAAATAGGGAATGCTGGGGGATACATAGTGTTTTTGGCTGTGTCTACTCCCTCCCCTGCCTGTCCTAAAATCCTTCTTAGACCACTGACTGCTCTGTATATGTCTATCTTCTTCTTGCTGATTTTGCTGAATAAGAGTAATTAATACATAGGATGTTGGATTGAATTGCCTGGGTCATTATGACTGAGGAATTGTGGGTTTGTATAGATCACGGGAACTGTTGTTATGGTTGCTTCAGCCAATATTCCAATTAGTTTCTCCTCTTTTTTGTTTCTCTTCACTATTGGTAATGTATTTGTAACATGTTGACATAGAGAAATATTGATGAGTTGTGTCTTACCTGAAAGAAATAAATGATAGAAGTAACATGTGGTGATTTTGTCCATTCCAACTTAGGGATTAATGCTATTTTTCTTGACTATGATGACTGTCTAATTGAGGGATTAAGAATAATGACTAGATATACAAGGAAATTGGCTGAAGTGAATATTTGGGCACCATTGGTTTTGATTGTCCCAACTCACCAGACCTAGTATATTTCATGCAACAATTTTCTTTTCTTAGTTTATCAGAGAAGATATGAAATATAAAGATGCATCTAATAAACACAGCCACCTGCACAGAGAAGACAAGCACATCACTATTGAAGATTTGTGGAAACGCTGGAAAACATCAGAGGGTAAAGCATTCATTCTGTGCATTTTTCTTTTTTATCCATTCCTCTGCTGTATAATAATAATTATAAAAAAAGTAAGAAGCATTTCAATGCAATAAAAACTAGGATGAGAAAGAAAATAAAAGCCAATATGTATAAAGCCAAAATATATAGAGCTAATAAAGAAATATAAATTAATATCTTAAAAGGAAATAAATGTTTCCTGGCTTTAGGCCTGGATGCTTTGGGAACTGATGAGCTTTTGAGCTAAAGTCATGACTCTAGTGTTTGACAGTATACTATAAAAAGGTGTTGCATACGTTTGGAGGTAAATAGAAGGAGGCTACTGTAGAATCAGATTTTGGAAATACAAGTCAGAGTTAATATAGAACTAAATCACAAATTCTCTTGAACCAGTAGGAATAATAACTGGAATTTTTGGAATTTCTGTTTGCAGTTGTAAATGTCAAGTGTGGTTTAAGTACATTATTTCAGCATTCCAAGGGTTTCCAGTTTAGGAAAGCAACTATAAATAGCTCATATTCATAAGTATTTAATATCCCGTATCTCAGGCAGTTTTTTGCATCCTCACTTACTGAAATGTGTGCAATTCAAGACAATTTATAGTGTGGTTTGTGATGTTTAACAAATTCAATGTTCTCTCTATAGCTCATTAAAAAATACAAATTTTAGTGGAATTGGTCTGCATAGAGATATTTTTCATAATCATTTCCCAGCGGTTTAAATATTGAAGCTCTTACCTGTCAATACTTCTTGTTTTTGCCTTGTTTATTGGTTTGTTTGGTAATGAAATTCCCAAGTCCTGCTCTGCTGCCGCATTCCTCGGGGGAAAGGGGATGAATAAAGACTCCTGAGAGTGTATATATTCCCAGCAGGGTCACCCAAGACATGAAGGTCATTCTGGCTGCCAGCTAAGGCAAGCAGGCCCCTATGTTGGGCAGCAGTGATACAGGAAGGTACTGGAGGCAGATGATCACTTGAGTGACAATGGAAAACATTTCATACTGCATGGCAGAAGGCAGTAGTAAATCATTCCTGTATTTTACCAAGAAGAGCACATCAATAGACATGACAGAGTGATTGACAACATAGTTCCAGATGATAGGCCCCTCAGGTCAGATGCCATTCAACATGCTGCTGAAGAACTTTCAGGGTACCAATGGTGTTTATGACATGGCTAGTTTAAAGCCTTGGGGATATCTAGTTGCTGATGCTGCAGTGCAGGAAAAGAAAACGGAAGCTGCAAAGACAGAATAACAGTGGGACACATGGAATGGAAGAAGCATGAACTTGGGAAAGCTCAGTGTGGTGGAAGATAAATCAACAATACATTGACATCTTAGGCATTAAATGGACTGGAATTGTACTGTCAGAAGATCATACTTTTTACCAAGGCTGCAAAAAAAACAAAAGGGAATGGCTACTAGAGTAGGGTCATCAGCACAGAACTGGTTATTGAGGTTTCTTCCTCCATTTTTAAAACCATGCTTATCTTCCAGTTCAGCCTCCCTCAATATACATTCAGCATATACAGAGAGAGCATACAGCCTTGTTTCACCCCATTGCTGACCTGGAACCAGTCTATTCTGGACTGTGAACTGTTTTAGTTATATCCAGGTTCATATCTGCAAGATAGCAAAATCATTTATTCCTGAGAACCCCCCAAATGGTGGATCTATGAGTTCCTTCCGTATCCTGATAAACAAGTACAGTATAGGAGAATGGTGTCACAATTTTTAAGCCACCAGAGCTGCAACAGCAGAGGCTTGGGGCTTTGAAAATCTCTTCTCTAGGATGGACGAGGAAAGTACATTTAAATGGGCCATGGTAAAGGATATCCTAAACTTGGAAAGAGCAAAGCTCTTCTTCAACAGCTATTTGCCCCTTTATCATCCAAAGGAAAATAAATACGAAAATTGAGGAAAGAGCAGATTTTGGAAAGCCTAGGTAGAAGAATCTGCCACCCAATATAAAGAAGTTGGAAAAAGACTTCTTTTGAGCCTTTCCCCTCAAGACTGAGCCATTCAGTGAGATGAACCGTAGCATAGAAGTGAAATTACCTTAGCTTTAAACAGTTTAATTGCTGCTAGGACAAAATAGCTGCTGTGGTGGCTAACCAATCTAATTATTGCATTTGAAGCCCTCTGAGCATGAGATGAAACTTCATGAGTTTGATGTTTCTTAGCAGAGGATGAATCAAAGCATGCACTTTATTCTGTTTGAACGCTGTTACTTGACCATTATGTTGGCGCTCTTAATGGATAGGACCATCTCCCTAGTCAAATAATTAATTGTGTGGTTTTTCTCTGTGGCAAAAACTGGCTAATGCTATTAATTGAGTTAAATTTAAGTGACATAAGAAAGCAGCTGCTTTGGGATGCCAAAACTGTCTCAAATAGCAGAATGATCTTAGCTAATATATATTTAAAAGTATTCAGATGGCTTAGTTTCTGTAATCAATATTCTGTAATTAATATTGCTGGAATATGACTTTTGTAGGTAGTATTCCTGTTGTAATAATTCCTGTTCTGTCCTGTAATGTATATCATGTATAAAAACTTCTATCTCACTGTAAGCAATCTGTTTATTATTTAGATTTTGTTTACTTTTGTTCTCTAAGTGGATCTTGTGGTATAGACATCCGTAAAAATTACCAAGACTTTGTGGCTAGATGGACTTAATTAACCTCTAGTTTTGCTTTCAGATATTAACTTGCAAATTTGATCTGTAAGCAATTTCCCCTGGGGTGCTAAAAGCATGTCAGTTATTTATTTTCTGTGAATATAATTGAGCTGCTACATTTGTTACCCTTTGCAAAACAAGTTCATATTTTGTTTTGGGCTGTGCAAAATAGAATACAGTAGTACAGAGATCTCCTTAATTTGTAATGTTTGACTTCCTGGTGAACCAGTGTTTTAGTGATTAATAGTATGTATTAAGTTTTTTCTCCCCCACTCTCCCCAACTTTTTATTCACTGCTTTATGTTGAAGTGTCTATTGGCATGACATAAATTTGATTTAAAATGCTCATGTAAATGTGCTAATAACATCAGATTTCCTTGAACTTTCATAAAAGGAATTTGTGGCCAAAACCACTGGCTAATCAAGTACTGGCTGAATCCTATCTAGAAAGATAACAGCATGGTGGGTCTCGTCTTTGATAACTTATGCCAAGACAGCCATTTAAGTTTTATTTTTAGTCCACAAGACTTTACCGTCTCTTGGAGGATTTATAAGTTAAAGCTGTACTTATAATAATCCACACAGGATAAAAATGGAGGGGCCTCTCAGCATTCCTGGTTTTATTCCATAGATACACTCTGTTTGTGTACAACATTTGTAACCCACCTTTCCACAAAGGAACTCAAAAGAGTAGGTCAGTAGAGAAGAAGAAAAGAAATCTCAGGAGAAAAAAATTAGTTGTGGCCATGGGCAGACTCTAGGATTGAAGTTTATACTAAAGCTGCTGGGGACTGCATTGGGCACGTCAGTAGTAATAATGCTATTAATTAGTGAGGTTTCCGAATCCTCTTCATTCTTTATTTATCTTTGATTAGCAACTTTCCCCTTTTCTTTCCTAGATTTTAGCAGTACCACAAGAGCTTAGAAAGAGGGTATCCAGCTAAGTGTCCATGCTCAAAGAAATGCTAATATTGGGGAACTTTTCTTCCCACATTTAGTTTCCTGCACACTATACCTGCTTCAGAAGGTTGGAGAATTCTTTCAAAGAGTTAGGGGTGCAGGGGAACTGCATGGGAAAGCTGAGAAAGGGAAATGGATTTGACTAAAGCAGTGTTGTCCAAACTTGGCCACTTTAAGATGAGTGGACTTCATGC